TATAATTTGCTGCCAAGTTGGGATTTCTTTTACAAGCTAATGGGTATACCATATTCGCGTCATTTAGTTCACTGTCCATTCCAAAACCTATACTTTGGGGGACTTTTTAATGTTATCTATCTGCAATTAAGTTTCAAACTCACTGTGAAAAAAAAACATAGCATATAGATTTTACTCTATATAAAAAAAGAAGAAATACCACGAATTTAACATTTTTAGCCGAAATAAGTACAAATACTTAAAATATCGTAACAACATTGATTGTTTATATATACATATGTCTATTTGATATATTGATAGGCAACTTTTTCTTAATATATTTTTTCATACTTTCGAATTTAAAGATATTCAGGATTGATGTACGTTTCCCTGTGTAAAATAGAACGAACCGAACAGCTTCAACTAAAACATGCCCAATCAACATTCTCGTAAATTTGCCAATTGCCCAGATACTTAACGCTATCGAGTCCAGAGATACGAACTCAACTTAAATGAACTGAAATGCAATTACGATAGATGGAAATGGGGAAAAAAGTGGTTGAGTTGCGGAGCAATACATTTTGGAGTGGGTTAAGTGAGGACGAGACCAGAGTCAACAATTTGTTGATTTATTTGTATTTATGTTCCGATTTTTTAGCGTTGTCACCTCGGTGAATTGCGCACTTGACTGTCCGAGCTGAGAAAAGGTGATGGCTAAAATCGGAGGGTAAGGAGCTTAAAAGGACACACAGCTAAAATAAAAGGATGCGCCACCGAGGCTGGCAAAACAATGAGATTGCCGAATTTCAAAGAATGCCCATTGCCCTGCGTAAACGTTTTACGGTTCTAATCCCCCATTGTGTGAAGGTAGACATATGTGCGAGATCGGTTTTTGTTTTTCTTATTATTATTCTTTTTTTTTCTGTCGAGGACCTGCAGCACAGCACACACCCCCCGGTTTCAAAAGCAGTTCTGATCCCTTGGTCTTCAGATGACAGCAAGGTGCGGGATTTTTGTCATTTGTCGCTGGCCCTAAGTCAATCCTCCCTCAGCCACTTGACTCGAAATGCCATTACCGCACACTCTACCGTTTTCCACTGCTCACCCTCGCCTCATCCGATCTGATCTCACATTTGGGCCCAGTTTATTGGGATTTGGCTTACAGGTCGATCAGGTTGGACGGTCGCAACGAAACAGAACGAAACGGAACGGAACGCAGATGCAATCGAAGCTGGTCCAGACGGAAATTCGAATCGCCGCGGGTCATCAGCTGCATCAGCTGAACTGGAGGTTCACAGTTCCTCCAAGTCCCAGCCTGATCCTCCCCCAAAGGCAGCGAAACCATACCCTCTCCCTCGCGATTATTTTGCCGATAAAAGCATGCGAAGCTGGTCGATCGATTGAGCCCTAAGTATATTGCACCTGGCCAAATCCCCCTCGATTGCTCCACCTGTTTAGCCACCCACTGCAGATACTCAAGCTCCTTTGCCATTCCTGCGTTGCATATGATGCATTGCAGGGCGTCATATTTAAACTATTGCACGGCGAAAACATCGATAGCATTCTCGATAATATCGATTGTAGCTTTAGCAAACTCAATATTTATGTCAAGAAAACAACACAGAACTAAACTTTCTTTGCTTTGGAGAGAAAGTGATTTCTGAATGAGTAGTTTTATGAACTTAGAATAAAGACAATCCTTGAAAGCACCACATCCCACCTCACACCGCCACCTTGTGAAATCTCCATTAACACACCGATGTGCACATCTGCTAAAACCCCAGCTTGGGGCCTCAACTAAGTCACTGCGGATCGTGAGAACTTGGCTTAATTGATTTCTACAGGCCTGGCCAATGTACGCCATCAGTGGTCGCGAAACTGAGTATTGAGTATTGGGTATTGGATATCGCATTGAATGCCACATATGGGGCAGCATTGGATTGCACAAGTTCAAATGCCACGCATGACCGTCACAAATCTGAAGCAATCTCCGCTTTTCCGAGATTTTTTCACAATGCAAATGGGAATTTCAAGAGTTGCTGGAGAATTGTGTACCAATTCTAAAAGCGAACAAAAACGGTGTTAGGAAAAGACTTTCGTTAAGCCGTGGCTTTTTCGCTCTCAGACAAATACATTTCAAGGCTTAAGAAAAATGAAATGGTTATGCTTTTTATTTAATTTAATATTATTCATAGTCAATAACCCAGTACAAGTTTGCAACTATTTTTCCGAGTGCTTAGGAACATTTTGGAGCTGCCTAGAACGAGTCAATATATGTGCATCCGTGTTATCTGCAGGAAAAGAGCTACGTTTTTGGCCCGCGGCATGTTCATGCTATTTTTTATTATTCGTCCTCCCTAAGTGATCGATCGAAATTAAATAAGAAGAGGCAGGAGGAAAATGCCCAGTCGCTGCGCACTGGTCCCACAAAAAGTGGCTTGTGGAGTTGCAAGAGTTGCAAGAGCGATGGTTAATGTGCGTTTAGATACCGAGACATGTAATTTCCCAGCTTTACCTTTAACTCCAGCCTTAGCCCTTTCTTGCAGTCGAGTTCACTGGAGGAGGAGCATTTGTGGCTTTGCTAGACACTTGTCAATATAGGACCGAGGATTATCTCAGCATCGACAGTTGGCAATTTGAGCCTGGGTATGCTGCGGCGACCTACATTTAGAAAAATACATTTTCCCTAGACATTTCGATTTTGATTAAAATGAAAAAAAAATTATAAAGTAAATACAGTTTCTATTCTCAGATATATATCGTTAATTTCAATTGATCTATTTCGTTTGATCTAGTAGCAGAAGATCCATTGTATTTCGTATTGTTTTTACAATTATAGAGAAATATGTTTTATTGTCACTAAAATGTACATAAGTTATGTTGAATATATAGCATTTGTGCCATAAATGGAATATGATTTATATGAGAGATCTCCCACGAAGCTCCACTGTGCTTGAATTGAATAGAACAAATAGAAAATACCATACCTAATTAGAAACGACCTTGCGATTACCTGAGATGCTCGAAAAAAACGCAATGATGGACCCAAATCGGATACCCTAGCCTCTGGGCAGTAGCCTCCGAAATTCAATGGTAGGTGGGAGGTGGGTGGCGCACTGCTTAGCCGACGGCGAAAGGCGAAAGATGCCCCTTGTGCGACAGGGAGAGCGATAGACTTTCTCTCTTTGCCATGCGCAACCATCCATTCCGCTTTCGACCAATAAAGAGGGGAGTAGGTGCACCTGGCCCAAAGAGCGCGGCAGACAGAGAGAGAGAGAGAGAGAGGGAGAGCGCGAGTGCGAGTGAGAGAGAGAGAGAGAGAGAGCGACGGCGAGCGAGAGACATTGCGAAAGAGAGAGGGAAGGTCCTGGCGACACATTTTCATGTGTCACACGGAGTCCTGTGGAACCGAGCCGAACCAACCCCACCCTCCCTCGAGATCACCGCACTCTGTCGGACTTTGGATTCGGATTGGGTGCTTGTGCGGGGGAAAGGGAGCGCTCTATGGACGTGGGGCAGGTCCTTTTTGGTTAAGGATATTTGACCTCCCCCTCCCACTCCCCACTGCCCCCACCACACACAAACACACACTGATATGTATTCCGTGCAGTTGTGTGTGTGCGAGTGCCTATCTTGTGGGCACCCTCCATGTGCAACTTCTACATGGGGATACACACTCACCATTCACGTATTTACTTTCGCATCCAATAAACAAAATGTGTCTACAAATCCAAGAACACGTACATATGTATATGTATATGTATATGGCTATATATATCTTTATATATTTGTGTGTATAGGGGGGGTAAAATGTATCCCATTTGTATGCAATTGACATTTGGTTCCTGCATTTAATTCCCCAAATGGGGCCCCCCAGGATTTCGCAAGGGATTGCAGTTAAGCGCTTTAAGGCGTATAACAAGGCTTTTCGCCAATTATCAGCCTTTTATAAATTAGGCTGGTTGGATAATTTAACCACACTTAAAGATCCTTTTAAATTCTGCATGTAATGTTCATCTGAAGCACAGCATTTATTCATTCAGCTACTTAAGTTAAAAATTGAACCGATTACAGTACGATGCTTCACTTATCGAATTTTCTTAGCTTAATATCGAATAACGCTATTTAAAGGAAGCTATAAGTCTTCTAACTGTTGGCCATTTTCTTGAAGTAAAAAATAATGTGTTTATCTGACAGCCTAAAGTTATTAAAGACATTGTGATGTCTTAAAATATACAATTGCCTGTTTAAAATTTTTTTTAATTTAGAATGAAAATATACCCTAGCAATATATCATTAATATAAATATATAATATTATATTCTATCATATATCCATAGAATATTTTAAATATCTGTAAAAACCCAGCACATCATCAACTATTCCCATATCCGTAAGAACAAAAATCGTGGTTTGCGCAAAAATACAAAAAATTTATTTAAAAATTAAATAAAAGCTACATGATTTAAAATTAAATGAAATTGGTCTGGGCATCAAACAAAGCAAATTGAACAGATTAATGTAGCTTTATTTATTTAAGAAGCGAATTGCGTTTTCACAGATGTGAAGTCTTTATCTAAACCAAAAAGAATAAGTCCCTAAACTACAATTTCGCACGGAAAACTGCCAATTACCCATTAATAATTTGAACTGATAAATAATTGTACCCAAATGATAGGGAAGAATACAAAAATTTTATAGCCATATCGCAGGACTCTCTCTTAGTGCTCTCTTCGCGCTCTTGCCGCTCTTAAGGTGCGAACACTGCTTTCAACTGCTTGCATTTTGTGACTCTCCGCGCGAGTGCGAGGGAGCCGGCGATACAAGCGAATGGACAGCGCGTTAGAGTGTGTGAGGTGCTTTGTGTGTGTGTGTGCTCCAGTGTGCTGGTGTGCGAGTGTCCAGAGAATTCACATGTAAATAGAGGCGCTGCGTGTGTGTGCGTGCTTTGTTTGGCTCCCAGACTCGTTCGTTGCTCTCGCTGTTGTTGTTGTTGGTATTGTTGTTTTTTTTCTTGTACTTTTTTTTTGAGCAGAGCGCCAAGCGGCAAAAGCAGCAAAAGCGGCGGCGACGTGATTTCAAACAGTGAAGTCGACTTGCCGCTGCCGCATCGCATCGCACCGCACATTTACCGCAATCGGTAATCGGGAATCGGTTGGGAAGAGAATCGAATCGGAATTGTAGGCCAGCATTCGCAAAAACGAAAAAAACCTTTTCGCCGTTTTTTAAAACAACCTACAAAATTCGAAATAAAAAGTAAAAATATATAAATAAAAACGAAAAAAACCGTTTGTGTTTTGCCGTCGCTAAAACCGTTAGTTTATACATTTTAAGTTTTGTACTTTTTTTTATTGTTTCCACAACTGTTTTTACTGTGCTACCCATACAAAAAAAATTAAATACGAAAACCAAAGAAATAACAAAAAACAACATAAAAAGGATTCAAGTGAATTGGTATTGGTATTGGTGCTCCGCCCCTCGCAGGACATTTGTGTGTGTGGGTGCGAGATAAAAAAGAAGGAAGAGCGAAGAAGGAGTGGGTGGGTGGGTGTGGGTTGCTCGGTTTGTCTTTCAGGATAACAGCGAATGTCCTGCTTCGTGTGTCTACTATTTATTTACTTTTTTTATACCTCGGCTCCCAGCTGCTTCTTCTTCCCCTTGCATTCCAATTGCCGAGTCGCGCCATCTCGTTCGCACCCACGCCCAAGTGTCGCACGTCGCCCGTCGTCGTTTGTCGTTTGTCGCTTGTCGTTTTGTCGCTTGTCGTTGCGTCTTTTGGATTGGCTTCCTTGTTTTTTGCACACACACAAAGTGCGTTGCGCCTTCGTTTTTTACACCCACCCACGCCCACTGCTTGGATTGGATTACATATACACATGCACGCGCTCCTTTTTCTCTTTGATATATTTTTTCTGCCTTTTTTTTCCTTTTTTCCTTTTGCCTTCCTTCGTTTGGGGACATACCCAGCATCTCTGCCGGCAGCGCTGTCGGCTTCGACGTCGACAATTCGTTTTTTGTGACTCGTTTTTTTGCGTGTGCGTGTATGCGAGTGTGTGTGTGTGTGTGTGTGTGAGTGCGAGAGTGCGTAATTGTATGTGTGTGCTCGCTAATATTGTCGTCGAGTGTCATTGGTCGAAAGGCAAACGAATGGGAAGCGGGTGGCGCAGAGGGGCGGGGGGGTCTTTTATTAGAACGAGAGAGAGTGGGCAAAAGGGGGCGTGGTGGTGGGCGATAGTAGCCGAATGGGTTTTTGATTGTGTGTCGTCGTGCGCGGGTGTCTCTGTGTGTGTGGGTGTCCCTCTATCTGTATAACTGTATGTGTGTGTGTGTGTGTACGTCTGTGTGTTGCGTTGCTGGTTTGTTTGTGTCGCAGGGCGTGAGCGAGCGAGATAGCAACAACTGCATGTGCATTGGCGACCGCGAGTGCGAGCGAGAGCGAGAGTGCGACCGATTGGCAATAGCGAGAGTGCAAAGTGCATAAAAGTTTTTGGCCAGCGAAAAATGGCGACACATCGGGTGGGTCGCAAACGGGCAAGAAGAAGCAGCAGTAGCAGCAAAAAGCGACGCAACGCGACTTCGCCGTCCAAAAAAGCAAGCAGCGTTCTCGTTCGTTTGTCGCGCGATTTTATAACCGTTTTCAAAAGCGGCGGCACTGCGAATTCCGCCTGTCGTCCGTCCTCTTCGCACGGAAAAATGTTGAAAGAGACACCCACGAGAAATAAAAAAAAATTAAAGCTAAATGTCAAGTATTTATAATATAATACACCAAAAATACGCAAAAGAACTTCAGTACAAAATGACCAACACTTAGCTAAGAAAGATCGAAACCAATACCAAAATTCAGTGCCGGAATAAAACTTAATATGTCATACATATATTATTTTAGCCCAGTTAAATGAGTTGATCAACATGAACTGCAGCAGCGAAAAGGAAGAAGAAGACGTATTTTAAATAACAGCAGATTAATAAAAAAAAAACAAAATACGAATTAGAAACAACAAGCCAACCAAATCTAACAACAACAACAAATAAGACGGAGAGCATTTCGAGAACAACAAATAAATCTCGTGCACACGCACGTGGGCTTGCATGTGTGCGAGTATGCAAGTGTGTGTGTGAGTGTGTGTGTGTGTGAGAGCAACTAAAACAGCATCAACAACAAGCTGAGAAAAAGCAACTGCAGCTACAAACGCACCGACACCAAACGCACACTAACATCGATTATAAAGGTGAGCAAATCCCAAAAAAATTGGAAATTACCCAAAGAAATTACTTATGTATCCCTAAATAACATCATCTAAAGGATTTAGCGTATATTACTTGAAAGTACTGAAGTGATAAGCACGGTATTTCCATACATCTACTATTATATCGAAAATATAAAAGTCTCCATGTCCTTTCTTCATAAAAAGAATAGCCTAATTAAAAAAATCCTTTTTTTTTAGTAACATGCAATTTTGTGTTGCGGGCTCACTTATCGTATTCTTAATTTTTTGAATAGGCAATTTTCATTGGAGAATTACAAATTACAAGAAGAGTAACCTAAAGTATGATTATCCTACAGGATTTAAAAAATCTTAACGGAATGTGTTTTTCGTTTAAAACGATAAGAGCATTGATTTGATTTGATTTGATCGGTAGCAGGATTAAAAATAGCACGTTAGCTCGCAGTACATTTTACATAGCAAACATATGTTAACTGATAATTGAAATAAATAAATGAAGTAAGGCAAATAGTTGCTAATATTATGATATGGAATAAGATTCAATTCGTTTGAGTTGGCTGCTAGAGCTCCAAAGCGACTTGCACTTTCGTATTTATTACGATCATGCCACTTGTACCGGTTCCATGTTCCCTGTCAACTTTTCACTATCTCCATTTGATCAAGTGCGATTTAATTAGCCAATCTGTAAGTGAGATTGCGTATTGTTGTTGCCGGTAAACCTGCTTATCAGGATCTGTGTGTGTTAAAATGTTACCATTTTGGGACATGACACTATTAAATTTCGATGAAATGTGTTATAAATTGATTTTTAAAGCATTTTTTTTTACTTTTTCTTTGGGTTTTCATATATTTTTGACAGAAACTGTGAATATGGAAAGCACAATCCATATTCAGCTATCATTTAATATGACTTCTGTCGTTTGCCTCTATAAAACACACCGATTTCTAGTTTGTATGTTTAGATTTTTAACCATGCCTAACAGATTTTATGGTAATATTAAAGGTTTAATCTTTATAGAGCAATACCTTTAAATACCCTAACCAATTTAATCTATGTAAAGATCATACTGATCTATTTTGTTCTCTGACAGTATTAAATGTATTTCAAAATGAACCTTAACTATTAAATATTCAGTCATTTTACTCTACGAGTAACGTATTGCTATGCAATTAGTTTTCACCCGATGAAAACTGTATCATTTGTTCAACGTATTCGCAAAAAGGAAAGAACAAGCGAATTTTAAATGGCGTTGAGCGATTATTCCCCCTAAGCGCTATGCGCCCATCTTTTCCAGTGATTTCCGAGCTCTTTCATTCAGCCTTGATTTTCCCTCAAACGAGCACTGCCCGCTTTTTTCCCAGCCATGTCTTCCATCTGGATTTTCTCATGAATTAAACAGGTCATTTTGGTTTTATTAATTCTCTTTTTTATTCAATCTCAAGGTCGGTTCCGCGCATATAATACTTAAATTGTGTGCGTTTGTGTGCGTTTGTGTTGGTGAGCACGTGTGTGTTTGTGCTTGGTGGAGGTTTTTGCCTAAACATTGATTTCCTATTCCCAGAAGTGATGAACAATAAGTGAAATGTGCACGTATCTAGGCTCTTCATTTTAAAAACGACAAATGACGACACACGGAATTCAGAACGGTAGCAAGTGAATGGATATATGGGAATATACCTGAATGGTTCCGACATTTGCGCTTTGTCTTCGTAACCAAGAACCTTTTTCAAATGTATAGCTGCATATATACGATGTATATACCTATATTGTATATATGTGGGCGCGAGTGCCAAGTCACAGCGGAGGCCATAACTATATAGTCATATAATCGTTTGTTCGTGAGCTGTAAACACAAGCATTGTAAATTTACACCATGCTTATAATTAGCAATAGAACGGCAGTTGACTTTTCCAGCCACAACCTCTGGCCACTTTTCCACTCATTTCGCATCTTTTCACTGCAACTCTCTTGGTGCAACAGCGTTTTCAGTAACTTCATTCACAATTTACATTTAAATGGGACTTTTCAGGGGTAATATGAAGACATTATCTGTAATATACAATATCTTATAATTCGTAACTCTCTTTCAGTATTTTTATTACAAATTTCAATTTAAAAAACAATTTTTTGAGTCCCTTTTCCTAACTAAATCAGCAATTAAACACTGCAACTCTGTGATTTAAATCGATGTAAGGAATAGGGGGATATTGTTGGACATAGGTCAATAAATACTCATTTTTCTCAGTGTTGTTGGGGAAGGCAGTCAAGAGACACAGACCGAATGACAGGCACACCTCCTCCCACTCCCCCTTCCCGCTTCCAACACCTGGGATCATGCTTGGCTGACGACAAAGATTGTCGCTCAGGCGTCCACAATGGGCGCCAGTTTGAGTTGAGGCGGAGGGATGGGGCTGGAGATGGAGATGGAGACGGAGGCGAAGGCCTATGGCTCAGTGCCTCCAGCTCCAGCTCCAGGTGCAGCTCTAACTGCAGCTTGGTAAGACCGATCCGAATGGCCGATCCGATCCAACCGCAAGGTAAACAGTGCTAAAGACCCTCTGACACCTGATTACAGTGCAAGTGAATGGGCTGCGATTTCATTATATCATTGTTGAATTAACAAAGATAATTTGTAGAAAGTAATATTCTAATTGATTGACGACGAAATTACATTCAAAAGCGTTTTTTAAAGGGTGCAAAACATCTACCATTTAGCTTTTCTATCAGAAAGCATGAAATGGTTTCTCCCCTTATATCGCTAATTCCAATCCTTTGGTCATTTGTACCTCAAGTATTTGGTCCCCTTTTCTATGCAACAACGAAAATTGCCTAAAGCGAAGTCAAGTTGAAATGAGGTTGATGAGACTCGCAACGAGCACTAGCAAATGATGGGAAATTGGGGCATATAGAGATCCAATCCAATGATCTCAATCTCAATCACTCCTGCACTCGCCAGGACAGTAATAATTTTGCCCGATTTGTGCCTGCCTCCGCCTCCACCTTTGGAAACACCAAGGAATGCATGGATGCGACTCGATGATCCCTTGCCCGCGGTGGCATAAAATAAAATAAGATTGCAAAGGCGGCGGCAACAGCAAAACACACGAATCCGCGCAGATGCAATAATGGAGGACATGGGACATTGTTCTCACATCCACAGCAACAGCCAAGGTATCCACATCCACATCCATAGCCATAGCCACATCAACCGCATATATCCATATCCACATCCACATTCACAACCAAGTCCGACCTCGTCATCGTAATTGTTGCTGCCCAGCGCCGGCTCGTATAATCCGCTGAATCCGCTGACCATCTCATCCTCATTCCCAACCCTAACCCATTCCATTCCACCACCCCCGCCAGCCATGGCAGCGTATAATTGCAGAGCAGCCACCGCTGGACAGTGGTTCGAAAACGATTTATTGCAGCGCTGATCCATAAGTTACATCGTAAACTATATATTATGAATGATTTCTCTTCATGTTTGAGAGATCGATCATTTGCCAAGTTGGCCGAGTATTGGTTTAAAGTTAGAGCCTAGCTGCGCAATGATTTTGTTTAAGATCGAATGGAATACCGTTTGGTTTATTACTGGCAAGTGTGTTTTGATGCCAAGACATCAAGCAATGGCCAAGCAACCAGAAAGTGAACCGAGTAATCGGCAAGTTCGCCGTAATAACACCTTCGGGAGTGCAGAAATCATAACGATCGAAATAGCCCACTGTGATCCAATGGGCCGCCGCCTCCGCTACCTCACAGCAAGCCACCAGATGTTCAATCTTCCGCTCGAAGTGCTCGATCGAGTTGGCAACAGTTTTTGGCCAGATCGTAATCGCTTTGGGTCCCTCTCGGTTCTCCATCGGGTCGTCTATATGCACATATCTATATATCCGCGCCGCATATACATACATGCATATGTATGTATGTTTGCATTTGGGTAAGGCATAGCTTGAACTCCTTCAGGTCGAGTTCTCGGGTTGGGTTTGTGCGGCAAAAAGGCGCAGATGAAGACGACAACTTGGAGCTTATGTGTCAGGTGCGCGTCGTGCCGCGAATGTAACAATTTATTGCACTCGCTTTTGCAGTGTTTTCTTGCCGCTTTTTTTTTTTGTTTTCCTTCTTTTTTTTTTGCTCCTGCTGCCGCTGCTGGTGGCACCAAATTGAATTTTCCACCGAGACCAAGTTGTTTTCGGCTTCTTGGTTATTGTTTTGTTGTTGTTGTTCATGTTGTTGTTGTTTTGCAACAAGATTCCCTTCAGCTTTGCATTCATCCGTACGGCCACTTATTGTCCAATTTTCATTACCATAACGAACTCAGAAATAAGCCCCGATTAAAGGGCACTGTTAAATGGCAATGCGGCGCCCCAAAAGAAGTGGCAAAATATCAATGTTATTTACCAGCTGACGCAAGCATGATGCGAATCAGTCGGAATATGTTATAACAAACATATTACAGGAAATGTTGATAGCAATTGAATGACATTGCTAAACAGGGCTTAGTACTCAAGCTTATTTAAAACCTCAGGGGGGTTCACACTCTAAGTATTTATCTTCTTTACTTCGAAGTAATTATTACAAAGATTAAGAATCAAGTCTGTGAAAAAAAAACAAAAAAAAAAAAAACAGTTTTAACTAAAACATAAGCAAACTTGCGTATAATACAAAAACCCAAAATAGTAGATCATTATGTATGTATGTCTCGATCTAATCGATTTTTCGTTTTTTCCTTTCCCGCATTTCGATTAAGCCATTACATAGCCTTATGTGTATTAATAATTAAGGCATAGTGTCGACCTTGCCGGGTGGCTGGTCAGAGATCTCAGATCTCAAAAGATCTTTCACGGCCTCGAGATTGGCCACGAGCTGGCCACTGTGATCGGTTCCCTCAGACAATGGAACACTTTGATTTTTTCTTGAAAAATATCTGTATATACAACATAAATGTATATATACATCAATGCAAAAGTGGCCATACGGCTGCGTATAAAAAATCGTGACT